AAAAAAAAAATTAATAATAATAATAATAATAATCATTCATACATGTTAGGATGTCCTCCCCATTCACCACTAAACTACAAATCCTTAATACTCAAACAGTTCAGATGCCCGTGTCTTGCGTAACAACATGTTTGTGAGGCCTCTCTTTAAATGCAGTATCTTTGTTATTTGTTGTATCATTGTATGTTTGTTTCTTTGCTTGTGCATCCAGCATTGTAAATGCTTTTATGTGTAGGCTACTATACATCTTTTTTTTTTTTTTTTGTACATTGTTCCGCACAACTGTAAAATCTATACGCAAATGGATGACCACAAATAAAAGTTATACACACACTTCTATATTATATATATATATAAAATATAGCTTTTGTTTGTTTTGTATTTGTATTATCAAATGATTAATTTTTGTGTTGTGCCTTCATTATTGATATCTTTACAATATTAAACGGGGGTCAATGACTCTATGGCGTTAGCTGGTCATTTTATTGGACATCTGTTTAAATGCACAAAACAATGGATGGATGGATGGATGGATGGATGGATGGATAGATAGATGGATAGATGGAGATAGATAGATAGATGATAGATAGATAGATAGATAGATAGATAGATAGATAGATAGATAGATAGATAAGATAGATAGATGATAGATAGATAGATAGATAGATAGATAGATAGATAATAGATAGATAGATAGATTAGATAGATAGATAGATAGATAGATAGATAGATAGATAGATAGATAGATATCATATCTAGCTAAATACGGGTGTGAAAGGGATCTAAAAACGTTTAGAGCTTGTCCACTTTAGACCACTTCAGAGGTAGACGAAAATTAGATCGACACAGAAAAAGTTTTCACACGCAAGTTGAAAGTCTTTGGTTGTGGATAGTAAAACACTACATCTGCAACATTTATCAAGTTCATGGATAATTATACATTTGTTAAACATGTTCATCGAATAAAAGGGTGTCCACTCACTTTTCCTCCGCCATTCCCAACGGCCTACTACTGGGCTGGCCCAATATCGTTAGCCTCATAGCATTGCTATGACGTCATTTTGTGTGTGTGTTTTGTTTTTGTTTTGTTTTTTTTGTTTTTTCTTGTTTTCCAAAGACATTGAAATGTGAATTAGGTAATTATGCTGTGAGGCTAACGATATCTAACATATCTTTGGCTGTAGACTAGTAGCCTAGTGTTTACAGAAAGGTTGGGTGTAGTTTACGTGTGTTTACCACATGGGGGCGCTAATGTACATATTTTGAATGTGTGCCAGTAGGCCTAAAATTTCATCATGCAGGCTAGCACTGTAGGCTACTAGCGTAAAATAAAACTTTTAAGAAGGCGATTTGAAATGGATCGTTCTGTCGTGTTCAATTGGCAACAAAGAACAACAAAGAAACAATTGTTGTAACTAGGCCTACTTGGTGTGGTTGGCCACAGTTTTATTGGGTGTCCTAAAACAAAACTTACAATCACTTTTGATTTGAATAATATTTTATTCACTACTGCCCTTTAAATGCATGCGTATAAAACAGATGTGTGCAATGTGTATGAAAGAGTCAGCAGCTTCATGCACTTGAAGGGATTTTGCTGTGGTCCATAAACAAGTATTATAATACCGTCATTATAGTCAATAAATGCTGAACAGCAATAAACGCTTCTGAAAGCGCAGGAAATGATGCGTCATAACAGAAGCTTGCAAATGGGAATTGACTATGCAACTGGCCCCTTTGCAAGCGCCATATGATCCATATAATATGTCAATAAAACGGTAAGGGAATGAATTAATGACTAAAATGATAAACGAAAAGATCTCACCGCATGAAAGCATTCAATATCATTATCACCCCATTAAAATATTACTGGAATTTCTTAGGGATTACACTCGATCATTTAATTTATTTTATTAATTTTGCGTAAATATGTTTCACAGAAAACACTGTTTGTTGTTAATTATTATTATCTATTTTTAGTAACATTTAAAAAAACATAGACATTTATTATATTTAATGTAAAAATAAAATGTTATTTGTTTAAAATGTTTATTGTATTAAATTTGTAACAAATCCTGCGAGGTGCTCTGTCCGCTGATTGGCCAGAAGTGTCCAGGATTCTAATGAATATTAATCGCGTCGCGAGCGATTTTAGCCCTACGTCTCATTGATGTCCTACTATCCATCCTAAACCGTATGCGAGATTAAAATAAATGCGTCCCAGTACGTTAAAAAGCGTATGCCAGACCAGAAGTTCCCGGATGGTCTACTCTTTCCGGTGGATTTTCAAAACAAAGGCTAATATTGCCTGAACATTACTACGAAAGAACTACGAATATGAGTAAAAAGTGTTTGTTTGTTGTTTTTTTTAACCCATGGCAGATATGCGCGACCAACGGTGAGAGGTTTAGATAAAGGTTTGAGTAATCAAAGTTTAACCTGAGCAAAATATGAATTTATTTTTGCAACAACAATGTGGACTTTTCTATCCGTTTGGCCCTTAGCTTTTAATTTATTATGGCCATCATTATGCATTAATATGAGGATGAATTACCCGCAACTGCAGATAAAGTGCTTCTGCATTTCTCTCTGATACGGTAGGAAATGAAATGTGGAGGATTTTATCTTTAACAAGATGATTGACAGGTCAGTTCGCGACAGAGCAACCGTTAAAGACGCAATTGTTTGACGTGATAGGTAAGCTTGTCTACTCTTCTGCTACACACTTAAAAATATGCACTTTTTCTTCACGAAAAGAGTACATACTTTTAGGGCGTAGTATAAGTAGGCGAATTGAGACGCACCAATCTCATTAATATTCATAAACAAATCGTTGCGCCTAATTACAAACGTCTGCCTTTCTATCCATTACCGCTGACCAGACCACGCGTCGTAATTTTGAACTCCATTGACCAATCACGGGAGACGTCTGACGTCCTGTATCCTAGGAGATTTTTCCCCTTTGCCTTTAACGCCGTGGCCTCTGATGCTCTGCGCGTGCTCCTGCGCAAATCTGTGCCGGTTGCCTGGTCAACCGAATGCGCGTGCCCCTGCAAGCTGATGTCGGGGGCGCGCAGTTGGAGGACTTAGTGGAGCAGCTCGGCCAAAAAGAAAAAAAAAAATGAATTAGACACGAAGCCTGGAACAAATTATGATTCTGGGTTTGATTTATTTTGCCCGTTCTGTGTAAATACAGTTTATAATGTATTATTTTAACCAAGTAAATGACTTTGGAGAGCTGTTTACACAAACTCGGCCGCACTGAGGATGAAGAATATGATAGCGAGGACCTGCTGTCACTTCTCTTATGAACGCTGAAATATATTTGAAGAGGAATTACACTTTTTGATTCACTTTTTGGGCGTTTTAAGTTTATAGGACTGATATTAATTGCAGTTTGGTCATGTTGTAGCAGTAGCTTTGGGTGCCTTTTCGCACAATCAAATATTATATTTATTTTAGAATTTTAACACTCATTGCCTGTTCAAGAAAGAGTGGGTCTTCGGGATTTTACTGTCTTTTAGAAATCGTGGGTTGAATTTATTGGACCCGAAGAGTTGGATTATAACCTACTGACGCCTTAAACATGTATGCTGGGCGAAAAAGAAGAAAACCAGTGCAAAGATCGTAAGTGATACAAATAAATGTGTGTGTGTGTGTGTGTGTAGGCGTACTCAATACGGTGGTCCATAATTAGATCATACAAATATATAATTAGTGTCATACTATTTTCATTGATAATTGCTGTTGTTGAAGTTTTTGTTGGTCTTTCTGACTCATTATAGTAAAATATACGTCTGACCCACATCGCATGTGAAATCTTCTCTCTAGGCCCATCTGTAAATATTTATATTTACAGTTATTATTCTATTTAATGTCATCAAATCATCACTGGTATGAGTTTTACAACCTAGTGCTGCGATATTTGTTTTAATGTACAGTAGTCCGTAGTTTTCATGCACTCTTGCTCGTTTAGTCAACGGTGTTTTGTCCTTTTTGTTCTAAATTTTTGATAAAATTAAACTCAGGTACAAAACATCAGGTACAAAAAATACAAAAACATTCAATTTCGTGAAATTAAATGAAGTTAAACCCCCCAAATTCTATTGTGAACATTGCTGCACGCAAATATTTTATTTTATATAATGCACTATGTTGTATTTGTTATTTTATCTTTTATTTAAAATATTATTGTTTATTTTAGTGTGTCTTGGAATTTCGCGTATATATAAATATAGGCCTAAGTCACATTTTTATTACAACATGATTTTTTGAAAAATACATGTTTACTAGATTTAGCCTAGAATGTATATTGCTAACAATTATATTTACTGGTAAATATTAATTTTAATAAATGTAAAAAAACACCTTAGCTATATAATTCTGCCACGTTTTATTAAATTTAAAATCACTTCATTGCTGAAGTGTAAATCAAATAGGTATCATAATCTTATATTACATTTTGCAAACCGTTCAGAGCTTATTTTATACTCTTAAATAATAGATTTACAAATTCTAGCTATTTGTTTAATATTTTAAAAATATTTTGTTTATTTTTAAGATTAGCCAATCACTTTGTCGGCATTGATTGTTTCCTTACAATTTTCCCTTTTTGAATTCATAGATCTTTAAAATCATCTATTGACGTATTTAAATTATTGTATGGAAGAGAGAGGCCGCACTTTGCATATACAGTTTTATTATACACGTATTTAAATTATTATAATACATTTTGATTAGAATGAAATCTATAATATAAATCATATTTACAATAACAGGCAAATTATGTTTTATAACAGCCCGTTGTGTGTGGTTCAGGTAAACTGTACGAAGATGGCAATATCTAAAATATTTGGACATTTTTTTGGTCACCGTCAGGAAAACAGCTTATAAATGATATAAAATCAATATTTTTTAAAATGTAAAAATGCAGAAAGTTTTATTTGATGGGTAGGTTTAGGGTTACTGTACAAATCATAGTGTCTGTAAATTCACCATAAATCATGGAAACCCAAAGTGTGTGTTTTACGTTGAGGTGGTGGTGACCCAAATGTGATTATTTGTACAAACTAAGATACACACACATTTCCTTAAAATCAAACACAGAGAACAGCACAGAGCCAACAATATGCAAAGTTATTAAACATGACGGGTAGAGTAGGAAAGTTGACAATTGAGTAAATTTAGTAAAAACAGCTTATGGGACACTCTGGCTTCAGTATTTTCACGTTGTCCGTGATTCTGTCCAAACAGACCGGGTCGTGAAAAACGCTGTTGAGTGTGATTTTAAGAGTTGGTTCTTTTGCTCTCGTACTCAGGGTGAAGCAGCCCCCAAATGAAGGGGGTAAGTCTAACCCGTCCAAACGCCATCGAGACCGGCTAAACTCCGAGTTGGACCGTCTGGCCAGTCTCCTTCCGTTTCCTGAGGAGGTCACGAGCAGCCTGGACAAACTCTCCATCCTGCGTCTGAGTGTCAGTTACCTGCGTGCTAAGAACTTCTTCTCTGGTGAGTTCCACGTGGACCTCGATGACCTTGTGTGTTTATTGGACGAGATGCGGGTGGATGTGTGTAGCTGAGACTGACTGTGATTGTTGTAGCATTTTACAGGACAAATTCGTAGCACTTGACAGGATTGTGTGTTGCACCATAATAAAGCGGGGTCAGGCATGACAGTCTGCTGTTTAGACACAGTGGGAAAGATCATCATTTGAGTTAAGCTGAGGACACATGAAAATAAAAATGACTTAAAATGTCTTAATTCTTTATATACTGTCATGTCGTAAATAGATAGATAGATAGATAGATAGATAGATAGATAGATAGATAGATAGATAGATAGATAGATAGATAGATAGATAGATAGATAGATAGATAGATAGATAGATAGATAGATAGATAGATAGATAGACAGACAGACAGACAGACAGACAGACAGACAGACAGACAGACAGACAGACAGACAGACAGACAGACAGACAGATAGATAGATAGATAGATAGATAGATAGATAGATAGATAGATAGATAGATAGATAGAGATAGTTATATTGATCGATAGATAGATAGATAGATAGATGGATATGGATGGATAGACAGAAAGACAGATAGATAGATAGATAGATAGATAGATAGATAGATAGATAGATAGATAGATAGATAGATAGATAGATAGATAGATAGATAGATAGATAGATAGATAGATAGGCAGACATAGATAGATAGATAGATAGATAGATAGATAGATAGATAGATAGATAGATAGATAGATAGATAGATAGAGATAGTTTTATTGATCGATAGATAGATAGAGATAATTATATTGATCGATAGATAGATAGATGGATGAATGGATGGATAGATAGATAGATAGATAGATAGATAGATAGATAGATAGATAGATAGATAGATAGATAGATAGATAGATAGATAGAGATAGTTATATAGATAGATAGATAGATAGATAGATAGATAGATAGATAGATAGATAGATAGATAGAGATAGTTATATAGATAGATAGATAGATAGATAGATAGATAGATAGATAGATAGATAGATAGATAGATAGATAGATTCATTCATAAATAGATAGAAACACAAATAGACAGACAGAATGAGCAAATTCATGAACAAGTCATCAAACAAGCAAATATTTAGGTAGTAAACATTGTTATGTAAACATTTGTGTCTTTTTTGTGTCCTAAAAATGTATTTCTGTTCCCATATTTACATAACTAAGCTGATTGGATTTGTTTTGTTATTCTGCTTGCTAGTGAAGCTCCGTCTCCCTCAGCAGTATCATTTGTTTGGTTTTGGGGTTTGAGTGTAGAAAAGCGCCAGCATCAGCACTTTAACCTTCGTTCTCTGTATTCACACACAAAGCTGCTGTTGCCCGGTTTGTCCATCCGTCCTTCCCTTCCATCTTATGAAGGGAACGTCATAACAATACGTCAACATCGTGTGAGTTCTGCAGCTCAAGGATAACTCTTTCTTTCCGTTCAGACAAACAAATGACAAACTCGGAGCAAATTTGCGTCTGTAATCGCAGTGTTATTGGGAAAATATGTCATTGTCTCTGTGACTCTGGAATGGAGCGTGGACGTGCTGCGCTGCACTGCGGGAACGGGCCTCCTCTGAGGCATGAATAATTAAACATAACGAGCTTAAAGAATTTATAAAATGGAGGGGTGTGTTTATTTAAGGAAGTGGGGTTTAAAATGGCTGTTCAGGTGAACGCGAACGGATGATTGAGTGATATAGCGTGTAGCTGCGCTTATGAATCATCTTGTGTTGGTGCTTTATAACAATGGCTGATTGTTCAATGATGTCACTGACAATTACAGTCGTCGCAACATCAATGACGAGGTTGTTGATGTTATTGCAAGGATAATTATTAATGAATTGTCATTCAATTTACTTTCAAGCATTATTATTGCTGTCCAACAGGAGTTTGATGCCTCGAAATAAACAGACACAACTTTATTTAATAAACATTATTGAAAACTGATTTTTTATGTTCAAATATTATTCATGGGTTGATTTCCAAGTGAAACAAATATAAGACTTGATTTTATTCATCAGAACTGAATGTGAAATAAGGTCTCTATATGACAGGAAGTTGGAAGAAAGGACTTGGTGATGTCATCAGAATAAGGTTGTTTTAGAAGCAGAGCAAGTTCAATTTAAATGGAAAAAATACAAAGAAAAAATAGTTCATTTTATTTTAGGACGTTGTGATCTGTCATAAAAAGTTTCCCGCCATTTTGAATTGTTCAAACTCGTCCTAGATTCCTCGGGCCCTTATTTAACAATCTAAGCGTGTGGTCTAAAACGCATGGCGCAAGTGCACTTAGGGCAAGTCCAAGCCTGCGTTTCAGTCCAAAATTGTCTGATTTCCACAGGGGGTTCGAGCATGTCTTTGCATCATTACGTCACATCTGTACACATAAAGAAGAGTCTCGGCTAGTATAAGCTATACTGAGTCATTACGTCATATCTGTACACATAAAGAAGAGTCTCGGCTAGTATAAGCTATATTGAGTCGTTACGTCACGTCTGTACACATAAAGAAGAGTCTCGGCTAGTATAAGCTATACTGAGTCATTACGTCACATCTGTACACATAAAGAAGAGTCTCGGCTAGTATAAGCTATACTGAGTCATTACGTCACATCTGTACACATAAAGAAGAGTCTCGGCTAGTATAAGCTATATTGAGTCATTACGTCACATCTGTACACATAAAGAAGAGTCTCGGCTAGTATAAGCTATACTGAGTCATTACGTCACATCTGTACACATAAAGAAGAGTCTCGGCTAGTATAAGCTATACTGAGTCATTACGTCACATCTGTACACATAAAGAAGAGTCTCGGCTAGTATAAGCTATATTGAGTCATTACGTCACATCTGTACACATAAAGAAGAGTCTCGGCTAGCATAAGCTATATTGAGTCATTGCGTCACATCTGTACACATAAAGAAGAGTCTCGGCTAGTATAAGCTATATTGAGTCATTACGTCACATCTGTACACATAAAGAAGAGTCTCGGCTAGCATAAGCTATATTGAGTCATTAAGTCACATCTGTACACATAAAGAAGAGTCTCGGCTAGTATAAGCTATATTGAGTCATTACGTCACATCTGTACACATAAAGGAGTCTCGGCTAGTATAAGCTATATTGAGTCGTTACGTCACATCTGTGCACATAAAGAGGAGTCTCGGCTAGTATAAGCTATATTGAGTCATTACATCACATCTCAGCTAGTACAAGTCACGTAAAGTTGATAATTCCGCGAATGACTGTAATTGCAGATTTCAAACAGAGATGGCGACAAACAGGAAAAACTGCAAACTGCAGCTTTAAACAACATGGTACACAACGTGAAAATGATAACTGCGTCAGGCTAGCACAAACTAGCAAAAAATACTTGCGGCACCATGATTTATTTATGATAGGGTGATCTGATTTTCACCAAAATTGCCTCAGATCAGCAAAAAAAAAAAAATACTAAATGATTGTTAATAGCCTAAACCAATCTTGTAGCTCTTCAATGAATTTGGCGAAGAACACAGAAAAATGTAGGTTGACGAAGCTCCACAATGCTTTGGCTTATTTTAACGATACTTGGTATCCATCATTACAATCATGTACAATATCACTGAGAAATTAAATCTTTTTGGGAAATAGTCGGATAAATATTCTTAGTGACTGACTCTGGATCAGCGTAAACGCTTTCTGAAGGCCTCATCTGGGAGGGAGGTACTTTTGTATGACTGAATGTAGGTCAGTGTTTGCAGCACTTATAATGCCTCAGGAAGCTTTCTGTGTTATCGGAGAGACGGCGACTAAAAAAGACCCCAATTAGACTCGCTCATCTTCTTAGTGCACTTCTTAGTGTTGTTGTTTTTTTCTTTCTCTTTCTGTCTCTATTTATAGTCTTCAACTCGGGGTCATGGAGCCAGCTGTAACATTCCCCCTCTCTCTTCTATCCTTCAGAGAAACATAACATAATTTGTTTTGCGTAAATAAAACATTATTTGTTATGAGTAAACAGAGCAAATGCTATCTGACGTGAGAATATTACATTCAAGCTTTCTCTAAAATGCCTGTAAGAATTGGGAAATTAAGCTAGATTCTGGACTCTACTATATATATATATATATATATATATATTATATACTATATATTATATATATATATACACTCACCGGCCACTTTATTAGGTACCCCATGCTAGTAACGGGTTGGACCCTCTTTTGCCTTCAGAACTGCCTCAATTCTTCGTGGCATAGATTCAACAAGGTGCTGGAAGCATTCCTCAGGGAGTTTGGTCCATATTGACATGATGGCATCACACAGTTGCCGCAGATTTGTCGGCTGCACATCCATGATGCGAATCTCCCGTTCCACCACATCCCAAAGATGCTCTATTGGATTGAGATCTGGTGACTGTGGAGGCCATTTGAGTACAGCGAACTCATTGTCATGTTCAAGAAACCAGTCTGAGATGATTCCAGCTTTATGACATGGCGCATTATCCTGCTGAAAGTAGCCATCAGAAGTTGGGTACATTGTGGTCATAAAGGGATGGACATGGTCAGCAACAATACTCAGGTAGGCTGTGGCGTTGCAACGATGCTCAATTGGTACCAAGGGGCCCAAAGAGTGCCAAGAAAATATTCCCCACACCATGACACCACCACCACCAGCCTGAACCGTTGATACAAGGCAGGATGGATCCATGCTTTCATGTTGTAGACGCCAAATTCTGACCCTACCATCCGAATGTCGCAGCAGAAATCGAGACTCATCAGACCAGGCAACGTTTTTCCAATCTTCTATTGTCCAATTTTGATGAGCTTGTGCAAATTGTAGCCTCAGTTTCCTGTTCTTAGCTGAAAGGAGTGGCACCCGGTGTGGTCTTCTGCTGCTGTAGCCCATCTGCCTCAAAGTTCGACGTACTGTGCGTTCAGAGATGCTCTTCTGCCCACCTTGGTTGTAACGGAAGGTTATTTGAGTCACTGTTGCCCTTCTATCAGCTCGAACCAGTCTGGCCATTCTCCTCTGACCTCTGGCATCAACAAGGCATTTCCGCCCACAGAACTGCCGCTCACTGGATGTTTTTTCTTTTTCGGACCATTCTCTGTAAACCCTAGAGATGGTTGTGCGTGAAAATCCCAGTAGATTAGCAGTTTCTGAAATACTCAGACCAGCCCTTCTGGCACCAACAATCATGCCACGTTCAAAGTCACTCAAATCACCTTTCTTCCCCATACTGATGCTCGGTTTGAACTGCAGGAGATTGTCTTGACCATGTCTACATGCCTAAATGTACTGAGTTGCCGCCATGTGATTGGCTGCTTAGAAATTAAGTGTTAACGAGCAGTTGGACAGGTGTACCTAATAAAGTGGCCGGTGAGTGTATATATATATATATATATATATATATATTCTCCGTTTTTCTGTCTTCACGTGCACTCAATTGGGTTTAGGAATAGTTATACTTCAGACGAATCAGCTTTGATATTTTATGTTAATTAATACGTAAATTAATTAATTAATTAACATAAAATAATTAATAAATGAATGAATTAATTAAAACTTCTGTGTCCATAGTGTCCAACAAGCACCATTCTAGGAGTAAATAAATAAATCATTCTGGCGATTTCAGAAAATGAGTAAACATTTTTTTTAGAGATTAGACTTAGAATGACCCTTGAAAGCTTAATTCTAATGCCACATTGGGATTCCGATTTCCGCCCAGAAGATATTTTCCCCATTTTTTGTGATTACTTGTACAGCCAGGTTAACGGGGGGCAGTCCTTAATCTTTGTATGCATGCCGGATACCTAAGAATTAGGATTGAGAACCAGATGGCATCAGAGGAGCTCTTCATTTTGATCAACTTTAGCCACTGAAAAGTGCTTTTTTTTTACCCTATCTCTCTCTGTTTAATTCTTTATCTCTACTCATCCAAGGTTCTTAGCATTTTTGCCTGTTTTTCATAATCCTATTTTTAATTGTTGTATACATACAATTGAAGGGGGTGATTTAGGGGGTGATCTCCAGTTTTGGTTCATATGTGAATTAATTTAGCATGCACATGAATCAAATGGGTTCACTCAGTTTGCATACTGTACAACAGCAAAAGTGGGTATTTTTGGTCATTTTGAAGAGCATAAAAAGACCCCCCCAAAAAATGCCTCTCCATGGTCTGTCTCAGAAGGGCTGCATCATGGGAAGTCTGACTCATATGAAAGCACAGGAGATGAGCTAGTGAGACATTAATTATGCCATGATGGATAGTGGATTGTGAACTCCATTTTGGCAGGTCTAACTGATTTGTGGAAAGCTTATGGTTATGACTTTTATTAAACAGGCAAATAAAAACACGTGAATTTATTCCCTCGTTTTATTGCCTTGTCTATGTCTTGCCAGCATTCATTAGTCGAGCACCGATTAGAATGATTCATTGAATCAGATGCCTGTGGTTTGTTTAGTTCAATGCCGCAACAACAGTGTTGTGTTGTTTTAATCTTTGGCTTAAAATACACTTGGATGTAAACAACGCTGTGATTGTAAGCGTATTAAAGGGATTATCACATTTATGTGTATGGTTTCGATTGCGGACGTAGATTTTTCAGAGTTACTTATTTTTGGTTCAGATAGTTCTCGTCATCAGAGATCAAGATATTGTAGTCCTAAACTCTTATGCCGTATGTCAAGGGAAAACTTATCACAATATATGTGTTTTAATGATTTTTTGGCATTTTTTGTTTACACAGTAGCTCGTTGTTGGGGCTGCATAGCCGAAATGTGGCCGACATCAGTTGAGCTTGGTGAGGAATTTTTTTTATTTATTTATTTTTTGAACATTGGCAGGCTTTTTTTTTTATGTTTTATGTTTTGTTTTGTTTGAACACTGGCAGGCATTTCTTTGTTTTGTTTTGTTTTGTTTCGTTTGAACACTTGCAGACATTTTTTGTTTTGATTTATGTTTGGTTTTTTTGTTTTATTTGAACACTGGCAGGCATTTCTTTGTTTTGTTTCCTTTGAACACTTGCAGGCATTTTTTGTTTGTTTTATGTTTTGTTTTTTTGTTTTGTTTGAACACTGGCAGGCATTTTTTTGTTTTGTTTCGTTTCGTTTGAACACTTGCAGACATTTTTTGTTTTGTTTTATGTTTTGTTTTTTTGTTTTGTTTGAACACTGGCAGGCATTTCTTTGTTTTGTTTCCTTTGAACACTTGCAGCCATTTTTTGTTTGTTTTATGTTTTGTTTTTGTTTTGATTTGATTTGTTTGAACACTGGCAGGTGTTAGAGGCATATCTCAGGGTCCTAACACGGGCATTTCTTTGTTTTGTTTTCTTTGAACACTGGCAGGCATTTATTTTGTTTTATGTTTTGTTTTTTGTTTTGTTTGAACACTGGCAGGCATTTCTTTTGTTTTATGTTTTGTTTTGTTTGAACACTGGCAGGCATTTGTTTTGTTTAGTGTTTTTTGTTTTGTTTTGTTTTGTTTGAACACTGGCTGACATGTCTTTGTTATGTTTTGTTTGAACACTGGCAGGCATTTCTTTTGTTTTATGTTTTGTTTTGTTTGAACACAGGCAGGCATTTGTTTTGTTTAGTGTTTTTTGTTTTGTTTTGTTTGAACACTGGCTGACATGTCTTTGTTATGTTTTGTTTGAACACTGGCAGGCATTTCTTTTGTGTTTTGTTTAGTTTTGTTTGAACATTGCAGGCATTTGTTTTTTATTTAGTTTGAACACTGGCAGGCATTTGTTTTTGTTTTGCTCTTTATTTTGTTTTATTTAGTTTGAACACTGGCATGCATTTCTTTTTTTTTCTTTTTTTTACACTGGCAGGCATTTCTGTGATTTATATTACACTTTATATGGCAAGTTCATTCATTCATATTCTCTCATTAGGCACAGCAATATGAAATATAATAATAATTATTATTATTATTATAAATTATTATTTCTATTATTATAATTTTATATCATTGAATTGTACTGTATAGAGTTTTTTATGAGTTTAGATGAAATATTCTGTCTAGTCTCACTGAATGACTAACGCTTCGCCCACTCTTTCTTAGTAAAGTAATCATCCGGAGTGAAAAGGGATGTTTTAGAGTAAGACAAAAATCCCTGCTAGGGGTAAACATTAGTCTGGCCTGTGTATTAGCACAATTAGTAGCTTTACAAGATCTTTCCTCTAATCATCAGCTTCCTCGCCAAAACTGACCTCTGATCGCATTTTCCACAAAACGTCTTCTGCAAAGATCTCTTCTTGAATAGTTGTCACTGCTTTTTACAGCAGATTATGTCACACTTTACGGAAATACTGTTTCACTAACTTGAAAATCCATAATATTATACAGCTGTGACATCAGAACATCACTTGCAGTGACATTTTGTTTAACAAAGATTGACCATGTCATGACAACCTGATTGTCAAAAAAAGGAAAATCAGATGTTCCTAATTCATTTTAGTTTGGAACTGTGGGACAAATAAAACCAAATTAGCAGTTGCTTCAATGCATTTAGGGGTGTGGTCCTGGTCAAGACAATCTCCTGAATGTCAGAATGTCAGAATGGGAAAGAAAGGTGATTTAAGCAATTTTGAGCGTGGCATGGTTGTTGGTGCTCTGAGTATTTCACAATCTGCTCAGTTACTGGGATTTTCACACATAACCATTTCTAGGGTTTACAGAGAATGGTGTGAAAAGGGAAAAACATCCAGTATGCGGCAGTCCTGTGGGCGAAAATGCCTTGATGATGCTAGAGGTCAGAGGAGAATGGGCCGACTGATTCAAGCTGATAGAAGAGCAACTTGGACTGAAATAATCACTCGTTACAACCGAGGTATGCAAAGCATTTCTGAAGCCACAACATGCACAACCTTGAGGCGGATGGGCGACAACAGCAGAAGATCCCACCGGGGACCACTCATCTCCACTACAAATAGGAAAAAGTGGCTACAATTTGCAAGAGCTCACCAAAATTGGACAGTTGAAGACTGGTCTGATGAGTCTCGATTTCTGTTGAGACATTCAGATGGTAGAGTCCGAATTTGACGTAAACAGAATGAGAACATGGATCTATCATGCCTTGTTACCACTGTGCAGGCTGGTGGCGGTGGTGTAATGGTGTGGGGGATGTTTTCTTGGCACACTTTAGGCCCCTTAGTGCCAATTGGGCATCGTTTAAATGCCACAGCCTACCTGAGCATTGTTTCTGACCATGTCCATCCCTTTATGGCCACCATGTACCCATCCTCTGATGGCTACTTCCAGCAGGATAATGCACCATGTCACAAAGCTCGAATGATTTCAAATTGGTTTTTTGAACATGACATTGAGTTGACTGTACTAAAATGGCCCCCACAGTGACCAGATCTCAACCCAATAGAGCATCTTTGGGATGTGGTGGAACGGGAGCTTCGTGCCCTGGATGTGCATCCCACAAATCTCCATCAACTACAAGATGCCATCCAATCAATATTGGCCAACATTTCTAAAGAATGCTTTCAGCACCTTGTTGAATCAATGCCACGTAGAATTAAAGCAGTTCTGAAGGCGAAAGGGGGTCAAACACAGTATTAGTATGGTGTTCCTCATAATCCTTTAGGTGAGTGTGTATACAGTATATATATATATATATATATGAGTTATGTATATGTATGAGTTACGTCGATAAAACAGATATACACGTCTTTAATTTTAATTAATCATATGAATCAGCATTACATTTTCATTTTTTAAATTGTTTATATATTTAATACATATATATATATACTTATAATAATTTAATTTAAATCGGATATATACACATTACATAAACAGACCATTAATTAAAAAATAATGGACAGATAGATAGAAGGGAATTTCTGTAGTCTTAATGCAGTGTTTATAAGATCTCGTGCTATCATACCCAAAGCTTTCTTTCTTTTTCTCTCATGAATTGACTGAATTGGCACACTTTTTCTTCTTTGTCCTCTTGTAGTTCCCCCGTCGCCGGTTGCTAGGCGCCCCATTCATACAATAGCAAGAAGAGAGACAAATTAGACAATCTCTTCAGTTCAAGAAAGTGTGCCTGTTTCCTTTCACCGCGGTGGTCCGATCTGATGCCTTTTAGGAGAGTCTTTATTCTGGATTAGTGTTTGTGTATCAGGAAATGCTCTACTGTTCACCAAAACACACTTGCATTGACTCACTGGGGCCCTTAAGCTACTAAAAGGGTGAAGTGCACAATGAACAGTTAACAAAGCTGGCTTTTGTTCAGAGACGGTGGAGTTTAACCTTTCTTAGGACTCAGAATAGCCTAGTTGACATCCTGGTGTTAAAAGGTTATAGAGTTAAAAGATGAGAAGCTCCTTTGCCTTTTAAATTGGATTTGATCGACTTACCTGAACTCAGAGACCAGATTTCAGGCAGAACGCATGATCTATCTATCTATCTATCTATCTATCTATCTATCTATCTATCTATCTATCTATCTATCTATCTATCTATCTATCTATCTATCTATCTATCTATCTATCTATCTATCTATCTGTCTGTCTATCTATCTATCTATCTATCTATCTATCTATCTATCTATCTATCTATCTATCTATCTATCTATCTATCTATCTATCTATCTGTCTATCTATCTATACCTCTCTCTCTCTATCTATCTATCTATCTATCTAATCATATGTCTGTCTGTCTATCTATCTATCTATCTATCTATCTATCTATCTATCTGTCTATCTATCTATCTATCTATACCTCTCTCTCTCTCTCTTTCTACCTATCTATCTATCTATTTAATTATCTGTCTGTCTGTCTGTCTGTCTATCTATCTATCTATCTATCTATCTATCTATCTAATCTATCTGTGTCTGTCTGTCTGTCTAGCTATCTCTCTCTCTTTCTATCTATCCATCTTTCTCTATCTATCTATCTATCTATCTATCTATCTATCTATCTATCTATCTATCTATCTATCTATCTATCTATCTATCTATCTATCTATCTATCTATCTATCTATCTATCTATACCTCTCTCTCTCTCTCTTTCTATCTATCTATCTATCTATCTATACCTCTCTCTCTCTCTCTCTTTCTATCTATCTATCTATCTATCTATCTATCTATCTATCTATCTATCTATCTATCTATCTAATTATCTGTCTGTCTGTCTGTCTATCTATCTATCTATCTATCTATCTATCTATCTATCTATCTATCTATCTATCTATCTGTCTATCTAATATATCTGTCTGTCCATCTATCCATATTTCATCTATCTATCTATCTATCTATCTATCTATCTATCTATCTATCTAATTATCTGTCTGTCTGTCTGTCTATCTATCTATCTATCTATCTATCTATCTATCTATCTAATCTATCTGTGTCTGTCTGTCTGTCTGTCTCTATCTATCTCTCTCTCTTTCTATCTATCCATCTCTCTCTATCTATCTATCTATCTATCTATCTATTTCTCCATCTCTCTCTTTCTGTCTATCTGTCTGTCTATCGTCTGTCTATTTATCTCTATCTATCATCTGTCTGCCTATCAATCTATCAATTTGTCTATGAATATCACTGTTCTTTTTGTTTGTTCATGATAATCTATCTTTACCTGTTTGACTTTCTCTCTCTCCCTCCTTCCTCGTCTCGATGAGTCGTGAACGAGCCACGAACGAACGTTGCCAGATGAAAGTGTTTTGGTAGAACAACTCCAGAGCTAATCCACTTACATTCATGCCGAGATCCCTTTGAAAAAGCGAGAGAACAGGGGAGGGTAAGACAGGATCGAAAGAGGGCCTGCAAAAACAGTCTGGCAGCCATGAACTTTTGAACCCTTGGCCAAACTAGGTGAGGTTGCTTCACATCAGGAAAAAAGAGAGAGCTGGCTGAGAAAATGTGGGCGGGGCTCCGAGAGCTGCTTAGAGGAAAAATAATGTTTTTGTTTCCAATCAGCACGTCTGAGTATGAGGACATTTCGACCGCTTCACATTAGAGCCAGAGGAGCTGTGTTTGTCTATTGGTCTGATATGTCAAAATCATTTTCACACTGGATTTCGTACATTGTGTTGTGTGTCTCACGTATTTGTACCTTTGAGTATTTGATCTTCCACCTCTAATACATTTTCTGTTCCTCCAAGGTGAAACTCTTTAGCCACTTTTCCACTGTCGATCCAAAACGTTTCCTTTACTTATCCGTTCCATTCCGTGCCGATCCGGCCCAGCTGGTTTCATTTTCCACTGTGGGTCTGATAACGGCCACTTTTTGGGATGTAATTCAAATGTGCCAGTCATTGCCTTAGTAAAGCAAGAGTTTATGTGACGTCAATAGAGAACGCATTTTTGCTTCGAATTTCAAGATGTAAACTTGCAATTGTGAGGCAAAAGTCAGAGTTGTGAGATAAAAAGTCTTGTTTTATTCCAAGGTGGAACAAGTTTCAAGTGGGAAAATAACTGAAACCATTCCTTGGCTTTCCTAGAAAAGGGGCTGTTGTGTTGTGTTGATTGAGAATCAAAAAGATGCATTTACTCTGCTGCGGAATGAGAAGCTGGGTTGTTTTAACCCAAATTTGGGTCAAATATGGACAAACACAGCCTTTGGGTTACAATTTTAAATGACATTTTTAACCACATATTTGGGTTTGTCAATAATATTTGACCCAGTATATTTTTATGTAAACATTGAACCATCATGTGTACAATTTTGTTTCTGTTTGTGGGAAAATTATTAATAAGTAGGCTATATGTTTTCATATATTTATGATACACTTTTTTTATTCAACAAAAATACTGAGAATTTTATTGAAGTGTCTTTTTAAACCTATTGACTTTTTATTTCGTGGAACTGTCAAGAATTGTATCAAGAATTTACAAAAATGAAAGCATTTAAACAGATGTCAAATTATCTATTTAAATATTATAGTCTCTGTTTTATTGAATCTATTTTATTTCCATGTTTCCAGGATTGAAATACAATTTACTTTCTCCATCTGTGTCTTTAATGTGTAATATTGTCCATTCTCTAATCCATGCTTAATAAAGAAACCCTTTAGGCCAGATAGTTCCTTAAATTTGTTCCACATGTCCATACTTAAAAACAGTGGTGGAAACGTAGCTCTACTCTTTCTTCACAATCGTTTCATTTTATTAGGTACTTTAGTGTTACGATCATAATGTGAGCTCATGCGCTGGTCATTTTAGCTGGTTTGGCACAGCTAAAGCTAAGCTAAGTCCTATTAATTTCAGTGTAGACATTGATGGATCCAAGCGTTTGGCTCTACTTTGTGTCTTTTGGCTACTTGACAGCTGTCGTTTGTTTTTAATGATGTTCGTTTGAAATGTATTGTTTATGGCATATAGTTTTGTTCTCTTTGTCTTTTGTACAACATCTGAAGCTTGTTGTTTTTTTTTTTTTTGGCTAATGGTAAGCTACATGCTAAGTGGGTTTGCGTTAATGATCATGGCAGCCATCTTCTCAGAAATAACCACTGGAATGGCACAACTTAGTGTTAAATGTCTTGGTTAGACTTAGGGAGTCTGGTTAATTCACTTGGAGGAAATATAGCATGCATGGTATTTAAGGGTTTTAAGGTAACTGCTTAATGCCTCACTAATTCAAAGATCAACTCTTGTGAATATTTGTGTGTGGTTTTGTTTGTTCATCTGCTTTTCCAGGAATAGTGAGAGCTGTGATGTAATCAAACTGGCTGGATCAGATACGCTGAATCTGAAATCCCGTTTGGAACCGATTCACTTCTGAGCTTAAATTTCCATTTATTTTGATGGACAGACTAAGTATATTTGTATTTGAAGAGCTAGAAGTTTGATCAGTTTATAGATCAGATACCATGGTGATGTCAACAAATATGAATTTATGACTCCAGTAGTTTGATCTAATGGAATGAAAAATATTCTGTTACTGAAGTATTTGAACATCTGTGATGTATTAATTAAAGCCAAAGTTTACATTTTTACAGGTCGTTTTAAATGGGAGCTGATATCTTTCGGACCCGTTTTATTCTTTGACCCTGCCAAACTATTTCTTGACTACGCAAGCGGTGGTTGATTAAGCTGAATAAATTGCACAACACTCAATATTTAAATTAATTTTATTATACTTTTAATGATAATGTTAATGATTAATTCATTTATTATTATTTTTAAGGCTGTCAAAAAATTGTGAATGCGTGTCAATTTAATTTAACAAAACTCTACAGATTTATTTAAAAAAAATATTATTTAATTTATTGTTATTATTATTGTTTTATTTATTTATTTTTTATTAAATTATTATCATTAATACCATTAATAAAATAAATAATAATTTAATAATAAATAAAACAATAATATTAACAATAAATTAAATAATACAAATTTAAATAAATCAATAAAATATAAATTAGAATAAATTAGCGTAACTGTAGGGTTTTGTTAAATTAAATTGCACAACACTCAACATTTAACTTAATTTTATTATACTTTTAATGATAATGGTAATGATTAATTCATTTATTATTAGTTTTAAGGCTGTCAAAAAATTGTGAATGCGTGTCAATTTAATTTAACACAACTCTACAGTTACACTAATTTATTCTAATTTATATTTTATTGATTTATTTAAATTTTGTATTATTTAATTTATTGTTATTATTATTGTTTTATTTATTTATTATTAAATTATTATTTATTTTATTATTAATTGAATGTATTATTATATTATTTTTAGGCCTGTCAATTGATGAATATTGCATTAAAATATGTGATATACACAGATTTTTAATCCTCATTCATTTTTAGTGCTATCAATCAATTTAAAATACTTTTATAAAGATTGTGATTATATAGATGATATACACACACCATTTATAAATGTATATTTATTTTAGATATTTCAAGCTGTTAACAAATTAAAATATTTAATTGTGATTAATTATATAGTTTTGTCGGTTATTAATTTTATGTTATTAATTTTATTATTAATTTTATATAATTTTGTCCCAAAAAAAACCTCCCTAAAACCCATTAAATGAATTTCCTTATTTCATCCTCGTAAGCTTTAGTGCAGCCAACAAACAGTTTGATTATAATGAGGAGTGTTTCTGTTTTTCTGTAATTACAGCAATAAAACTACAGTAGAGAAGGCAAAAATAATCCATAAGCAGCCCCTGACTGAGCCTCCATCTCTGTTTGATGCGTTTCCACACATTGCCACCCCGCTGTCACACTACAATAGATCGGAATGTGGATTTCTGCTTTGGGGAGACACACACACGCACACACACAGTTAGGAGAATATCCAGTGGATGGATACACTGTGTACTTGTACACACTTTATTTCTATCTGTGTGTGTGTGTTGTGACTACAGCTGGCTTTCTGTAGTTTTTTGTAAAGGAGACAGATGTGTTTCGCTGGTCTCCAGCTGTTTGACAGAAACATGTAAAGTAATGATTCTGCTCTATATATCGCAAGCTGACGACCCCTCACCTGTAGAGGGGATGGTGGGATGCATGTGACAGTTTTATTTTATGCACAATTCTTACTTGGGCAAATGTATTTTTTATTTTGTAGTTTATTATAGTTTTTTTTTTTCTTATGGCGGCAACCGATTAAAATATTGTCAATTTCATTCATATTTATTGTATGCACAATAATATTATTATTTTATTTTATTTTTATTTTATGCATAATTATAGTTAGGCTTTTATTTTTTATGGCTGTCAACTGAGTAAAATATTGAATGAATCTTTCATGTATTTTTATTTTATTCATAATTCATCTAGTTAGGAAAAAAATAATTAAATATATATATATATATATATATATATATATATATATATATATATATATATAATTGTATTATTGTTTTAGGGCTGTCACAAATACAACCACAAATATTATTTCCCTACTCTTCATTGCTTAAAATATTGTAGTTTTCATTATTATTATTTTATGTTTTTTTTTTCATGTTTGACTAAAACATATACTGATTGAAATATAGAATGAATTATTGCATGCTTTTTTATTTTATGCATAATTCTTCTAAATTTACTTTTGTTTTAAGGTTTTCAACCGACTCAAATATTTAATTGCAATTATTTAGTCAATATACACCTGTGAACGTACCTGTATATCAGTTGAATTCCATATTATAACCTACAATTAGGGTCATATATTATTTTGTTATCATATATATATATATATATATATATAGGGCTGTCAATCAATTAAATATTTAATCGTGATTTATCATGTAATCTTGTAAACAGTGAATGAAAACAAACATTGTTATACCAGGACTTATAAAAACGCTTATATGTGCAGCTTTAAACTATTACTTGTGATCAGAGTTCATCAAACTCCATCTTAAACAATTCAGTAGCCATAAACCCATTAACATAATTGATGGTTGGCATCTAATTCTGTTTCTGGGTTTCTTTTTAGGCCTGAGTGTTAATGTGACTAGCATGCTAACTGTGTTGGACAACAAAAACCTGATCCTAAACCCAAACAGTTATATATTAGCTACATTTTTAGTCAACAGTTTTATATTAGCATCTACTAATTTTAATCTTGTATGAAATATCGAGCAGTAGCAATGTTTTTAGTGTCAGTTGTTTTGTTTTGGCATTTGTATGAGTGACTTTAGCTACGCTAGCATTTAGCAGTAAGAATACTTGCTTAGCGAAGCCACAACTGACTGAGATATTGCCCAGAAAAGAGGGATAGAAGGGGAGGGAGGGAAAAAGAGAGCGAGTGTGGTGAGTCGTTCATCTGTGTGCGTAAAGAGACGT